AGAAAAAAAAAAAAAAAAAGGTGTTTAATGCAGAGCCCTGAGGCCAGAGAAGGCTGGGATTGGTGTCCGTTTGTCCGTACATCCCAGGGGAAGCATGTCCCCGTATTCCAGCAGCAGCAGCCGTCTGTCTGTGTGCATCCTGGCTCCTAGCTCCCTGCGGGGGCAATGAGCATCAGGGAGAGCAGCAACATCCTCGGAGCTGGTGGGGCACCCAAAGGTGGTGTCCCAGACAAGGGGGGCACAGACCCCTGGTCCGATATCCAGGCTGCTCTCCCCACCCCAGTGCTCAGACCTCTGCAAGCAGTAGGGCATGGGGACAGGGCCCCCGCTGTCCTTCCGCTGTGAGGCGTGGTGACACTGCCAGCCCCCAGTGATGTGTGTCCGTCCCCCACCCCGGGTGCCCCCTCACCCTCCACGAGGAGCCGGGCGGTGGAGCGGTCATCGAAGGCGTCGCAGGTGTAGGAGTCCTCGTCCTCGGGGCCCACGCGGTGGATGATGAGTGTGCGGTAGCAGTCCAGATTGCAGATCTCGTACTTGTCACTGGCAAATATCTCGGTGTCCCCGCGGAGCCAGCGCACCCGGCCCCGGGCATGGGACACGGTGCACTCCAGCGTCGCCTTGTGCCGTGCCAGCACCGTCTTATCCCGCAGCGGCTTCACAATGCGGATGGGCAGTGCTGGCAGGCGGAGGGGAGCCGTTGACATCGTGGGGTGAGCAGGGTCCCATCAGGACCCTACGAGCTGACCTGGGTGCACCCCAGCCCTGGCACTGGAGCCCGACCAGCCCTTGCACCCCATGCTGGTACCTTCCACCCGCAGGCTGGCCTCTGAGACAGCCGCCCCAGCTGCGAAGCAAATGAGTCCCGCGTCCTTGGGGTGCACGCCACAGAGCAGCAGGAAATGCCGGGTCCCTGGGGAGGGAGGGGCTGGCTCAAGGGGATGCTGATGGGCACCCATGGCAGGCAAGGGGGCAGAGACACCCCCCCCCTTTTTGTTGACATAAACTCCCCTATGAAGTTGTCCCCTTCCAGCCCCAAAACGGGTGTGAGGCCACCTGCACCCCCACCTTCTTGCCGTATCTTCACCGTGCTGGAGACCTTAATTTTCTCCCCGTCCCGGAACCACTCGCCCTTCACATCCCCATGTGATGCCTCACAGGTGAAGATGGCGTTGTCACCCTCCTGTACCTGGGTGTCCTGCAGGTCCTGCACGATGCGGACCTGACGCTCTGCGGGTGAGGATCAAGGTGACAGGGTGACCAAGGGTGAGGGGTAACAGGCGGCGCAGGGTTTGGGGTGTACATGCCCCCAGGAGCTGTGTGGCTGTACCCTTGACATGGAGCATGGCGGAGGCCCGGCAGTCGCCCGCATCACAGGTGTAGATGCCAGCGTCAGCCGTCTCACAGCGGCTCAGCTGCAGGACGCGGCGCCGACCCGCTGAGTAGATGCGGCAGTTGGGTCCCGGCCGCAGCTCCTGCCCATCCTACCAGGGGAGAGCGTGTTCAGGGGTGCAAGCAGGCAGCACCCCCATGCTACGTCCCCCATCTCCCTTGCCCCCAGCCCTGGCAAGGGAAGGCAGCAGGCAGGGGGCTAAGTGGGGAGGACACTGCTGGGTGCTGCTCAAAGCGACTGGGGTGAATCCTCACCTTGAACCACTTCACCTGCGCGCTGGAGCGAGACAGCTCACACTCGAAGCTGGCAACCCCTGTCTCTGGGACCCCCAGGTCTCGTGGGACCCTCACCATAGTGACTGGAGGCTCTGAGGGGGAGGACACAGGGCAGGAAGGTTTGGAGGGGAAAGACATGGGCTTGGGGTGCAGGGATGGGGAGCTGTGTCTGGGACATCTCGGCATGGGGTGAGGGTGGCACTTCCTGGGGCACCATCATAGGCAAGCACTCATCACTGGTGTCCCAGCTGGCTCTGGACCCAGACCCTGGCCAGGGGGTCCCCACTGCTCAGCTCACATCTCTTCCCTGGGGACAGGGGGACACCTGCCAGCATGTGCCCAGAGTGGCCCAGCTCAGCCCTGGCATCTGCCTCAGGACTGAACAGCTGCAGGATGGGCAGCACCAGTGCCATGCGTGCCCCTAAGCCTGCCTCGGCAACCGTACCCCGCACAAGCAGGCGGGCGCTGCAGCGCAGGGTGTCAGCAGTGAAGGTGACGGTGCCCGAGTCCTCCAGTGACAGCCCCTCCAGTGTCAGGCTGTGCCCACAGCCCATAGTGCTGATCCGGCACGTGCTGCTGGGCTTCACTCGGATGCCGTCCCGCGTCCAGACCCCGGGCACACCAGGGTGAGACAGCTCCAGGTGGAAGGTGGCTGTCTCCTTCTCGAAGGTCTCCACATCTGCCAGTGGCATCTGGATTGACACCTTCCGGGCTGCAAGGGACCCGTGTCCGTGAGCAGGTGCCCGCTCCACCTCAGAGCCCCTAGCTCCCTAGCCTGTGCTTGCTAGAGCAATCTCCTAAATACAGCCCTTTTTACCAGGCTCCCACCCCTGCCCATCCCCAAGCACAACACTCACCTCTCTGCTCACCCACCCCTTCCAGCCAAGTCCCATCTCCGCGCACAGTCCCTCCTCCAGCCAGCAGTGTAGTTGCAGCAGGCAGGTGCCCTCCCTGTCCCCATCCCCATCCATCGCCATGCCACTCCCCATTCCTGTCCCCAGCGTGGTACTCACGCTCCACGCAGAGTTTGGCCTGCGTGCGGTCGTGCAGGGTCTCGCAGCGGTAGGTGCCATGGTCAGCAGGGCCGAGGCAGCGGATGGTGAGGGTGCGCCGACACCCCAACTCCTGCAGCTGGTACTTGCTGCCCGGCTGGAGGAGGATGCCCTGCTTCAGCCACTGCACCTCGGCGGCCTCGTGGCTCACCTCCACCTCCAGGCACACATCCCCCTGCTCCTCTGCCACCTTGTCCCGCAGCTTCCGCACGAACAGCACCTGCGCCTCTGCACAGCCCATGCGCCTGGTCAGCAGCTAGCCCTGGGACTGTGCCCTGGGCTGTGCCCCAGCCAGCTCCTTCCCCCTCACCTTGCACACTCAGCCGGGCTGTGCTCACCAGCCCCTCGGCATTGGCTGTCACAGTGCCTGCATCACCTGGCTGGCACTGCCGGAGGGTAAGGCTGTGGCACAGCCCACTCCTTGTCACCAGCAGCCGCTTGCTGGGGACCATGGGCTGGCCATTCAGCTGCCAGATCATGGCCACATCCTCAGGGGACACCAGGCACTTGAAGGTGGCATCCTCCCCTTCCAGCACTGTCAGGCTCTGCAGCTCTGTGATGATCTCCACCACCCTGGGGACTACAGACAGGGCGTTGAGGCATGGCACTGGGGACACCCCATCCTGCAAAGTCACTGAGCATCCCCTCAGCCCCCTGCCATCACTATGCCCAGGTTCCCCACCACCCCCATGGCACAGGGGTCCCCAGGGTGGTGGCCAAGTTTTGGGCACAGCTCACCCTGCACTGTCAGTGTTGCCAGTGTCTGGTCATCATTGGACTCGCAGCAGTACTCGCCGGCATCCTCAGGCTGTACGCGGCTCAGCACCAGTGAACGCTCTCGCCCCTCTGCCATCATCTGCCGGCGAGGGCCGGGTGCCAGCGCCCGTCCATCCTTCCGCCACACCACGTCGCCCCGCGCCTTGCAGAGCTCACACCACAGCACCGCCCGCTCGCCCTGCTGCACTCGCACGTCTGACAGCCCGCGCAGGAACTTCACCCGCAGCTCTGCACGGCCAA